CACACATACATACACACACAGCATCTCAACTTGAAAAAAACAGAAGAGCTGCCACAGGTCTCTGCGGTCTTCATCATGAGTGAAACACTGGCTCTTATTGGTCGACAGACTCACTCCGAGACGTCATGGACGGCTAGTGCAGAAGGCTAACAAGATTAACATTTATTTAATAACATTTATTTTTCTCTTGCCCGCATTAGCAATGTTACACACAGCTGTGGCTCAATGCCATTGTGGTGTTCCCGAGGGGGGATCCATTCTAGGCCCACTACTGTTTTAAATATATATGCTTCTTCTCAATCAGTCATCTCACACAGAACCATGATGTTCTCTGCAACTGCTATTACATTGTCAGATGTAGCTGGCGTTTCTGTGTAAATATGAGGAAAGCAAATATCAGTGGAGGAATGCTGAATGGGAAAAAGTAAAACCAGCACTTCCCTTTTCGATTTTGGTGATGGACCTCCCCCTTATTAGTTTCTAGAAAGCTATATTAACAACCAGCAGCCACATGAGCTCCTCACCAGGTTGACCAAACTGTTTCAACAGCTCAAAGTTTGAGCAGAGCATTAAAAACATCCCTTCATGCGGATTATAACACTGGGATAAGGACAGAAGTGCCAGTTGTACGGGATATAAGTTCCTCACGGTATTCCGGGGTATTTTGATAAAAGCCAGACGGAGTTTCATATGTAAAAATAAAAAATTTAGTTTGGTCCAAAATAATGACAAATGTCAAATGTGTGTTAATTAATCTCCAAATTTGCTGAAAGACTCAACAAACTATTAACTGAAAAAAAGAAAGAAATTGAGAATTGAGTTACGCAATCTTGTTCACTTAGTTTATGATCAGATATTTCCTGTTTTAAAATATTTTTTTTTAGATATATTATATATTTTATGTATATTGACTTCTTTAACATACATTTTTCCACAGATGTGGAAACACATCTCACAGCAAAGGCCACATATTTAATACAGCGGATGTTCAAACCATCCGTTAGTAGAATGATGAAATGAAATGTGTCAGAGGTTAGGCAGCACATAACCAATGTCTTGGAAGACACATTTTAAATGATAACCCTCACTAGTACAAATTTTATTTTTGTCATAAGAACTCACATTAAGTAACTATAGTCAACAATGGTTATTTCAATTGGCATTCATCAAATTTGTAATACTACCTTTGTTTGGTTTTGTTACTATTAATGGCTCTTAATGCCTGTTGTTACCCAGAACCTCAACCCAGATCAGCAGCACGATGACTGCTCTGCCTACAGATCTGTGATGGGTCATCTGAAGCAGCAAAGCTTGAATTGTCCCTTTCATACTGTTCTACACTTTTAGAAAACACACTTTTTTATATCAGTAAACAGGAATAAATCTGCATTATAAAGAATCAAAACATTGGTCTATTATCGTCATTTTACTATGTTGATGAACCATTTTATTGTTAACTGAGAATTCAGATTTTACTAAAAAAACAAGCTTTCTTAATTTTCTTAATGTATTACTTACTGGATTGCATTAGAGGCTTTGCTGGCATGGTCACGGTTATGTAACAGTTATGTCTTACCAGTTACAGTTTGCTACTATGCTGAACAGAGGCCTACAGCACAAACAGAACAAACCCAGTGAAGGAGATAAATAAAGTACACACGACTTGGGCCAGAACTGACCTGGACACTGGTCTTTTAAAGGTAGGGTCAGTCATTCTGGAGAAAGATAGTTGAATGTTTAGTGTTGTTCCCACCTGGGAGCACAGACACCACCTGCTGTGTTGGGTGTTTCCCATAACCCAAACCATCACTATTTGATGACCTAGGGTTCAACCACCAACTTTCTTTCTCCAGAATGACTGACCCCACTTGTGATCACTGATGGGCAGTAACGCGTTAGAAGTAACGATTACTTTTTTCAAGTAACGAGTAAAGTAAGGGATTACAGTTGCAAAAACAGTGATTAAATTACTGTTACTTTCCCGCAAGCAGGCTGCGTTACTTAACCGTGATTTTGTTTTGAGAGACAGTCTCGTGAGTGACAATGACGTATGAGCACCGCGACATCAGTGGTAAACACTGACACGTGTAGTGATCAATAAGAGACAACATGGAGCGCGCGAGAGAGCAGGACCATGCAGCGTTATAATGCTTGGAAGTACCGCGACATTAGTTTGAGTTTGACTCGGTAAAAGGTGACAAAAAACATCAGTGTCGGCGCCTGTAACTCTGCGTGGGAAGAAAACTTTTATCATAAGCAGAAAATTGCCAGCGCTAAATCTGAGCAAGCACCTAGCAAGCCAGCACAGGAATGTGAAACTCACTGAAATTATTTTATTGCTGTATTTTATTTACATCTATTCGAATGAAGGATTATACAAAAACATTTTTATTTTATATGCTGGAATATGCAGAAATAACAAAAGAAGGACTTGCTTTATTTCATTAAAATATGGTGGAATGTGCAGAAAATAGGTTTAAATGTTCAACAATTTTGGTATTACATAACTACTAAATGATTTGACACCTATATAAGAGATGTGCCAGTCTACCAGTGGGTACTGATATTCACATAATTCGCAAATTTCTCACTCTTCTGTCTTTGACTGTGAACCAGTGGAAAGGTAGGAATTAAATTAAGTTTTTTTGTTTGTTTGTTTGTTTTTTAAAGAACTACTGTTAAAATGCTTTTTTTTCTGTTTTAGGATGAAGTGTACTGCGGTCTTTCTTGTGTTGTCTATGGTCGTTTTCATGGCTGAACCTGGAGAGTGTATCTGGGGAATGCTTATCCATGGGGTCTTCCATGCAGGTACAGTTATGGAATCAATTGTCCTTTTAATGGCAAATTTAGACAGAATTTGGCTAGAAAAACACGTGTAACTAATAAATTATTATAACATTTTTAATTACACCTGGACATTTCCTTCTATGACACGTCACAGTGACTGTTGATCATGGTGCTATTATTGAATGAAATGAATTGTCCTTTTAATATTTTGAATATTTTGACACAAATGGCTGGAAAAACACACATGTAACACACGTGTGCAAACTGTGACACAGAGAAATTGTTGGTCTATTATGCAGGAAGAGAAAGCTGCATGTTCAGTAACAGCCCATAAGAGCATTTGTTATTAATGTTTTGACACTTGCACTTCCACCAGCTATGTGTAAATTATCTTCTATATTATAGTTAACAGTAGAGGCTTTCTAACTACTAGTTAGTTTGTCACTAATTTAGCTACTAACATTGTTTACACCACGGTTACTTTGGGCTAGTTTGTATACGTATTACCCTGCTGACAGCTCTGTACAACAACCAACAAGTCCAATACTGTGACTGTTTTTTGTGACGTGTAATTCTTTTCTTCTCTTGTCTCTTTTATTTAGTCCATAAAATGATCCATGGGTAAGAACCTGTGTCATTATTTTTACAACTACTAAACTACTAGTGTTACAACAAATATTGAAGTAAAATGTATGTAATTGTCACAGTGAATGTGATATAACTCTATGTCTTTATTCCTCATATATGATAATACAAATACCAACAATCCTATCTTCTCTCCCTCCACCAGGAAAGACCAGGCAGCGCTGCAGCAAGAGCAGCAGGAGCTGCAACAGCAGCAGGAGCAGCTTGACAAACATTCAATTGATTACAACCCGGAGCAGCCTGCTTTTCAGTAGGCTGAAGAGGCCACTCTGAAGCTGTGTTGTGGAAGAAAATAGATTCTTTTTGCTAATAGAAATTGGAGAAACCACTGCTTGTCGGTTTGGAATAAATTTGCTTTATAAACGCTTCAAAACATTCTTATTTTTTATTTAAAACTTGAGGTACGATGAAAAATGTTTTACTTTTAACAAAGTTAGCCTCTGT